ACAGAGTCAAGATATTTGGGTTTCTGCCCTGCCACTTTCTCAAAGGGTAGGGCTGGGCAAGTGACTTGCCTGTTCTACCACCTCTATTTTCCCCTGCAGTAGCTAGGGGATGGGCTGCTTCACCCAGTTCATGGGCAGAGATACTGATCTACTTCGGTAAAGGGATGTCGGAGGCAATAGCACCTCCAAAGAAGTAAATCCCCAAGTATTCTTGGAAGCATGCAAGGACACCCAGCACCTTGAGAAGAGGAACCTGAGCCTACTTGGGGAAGTATTCAGCTAACAATAAAAAGTAAAAAGTAAAAAGCAGCAATCACAAAACTTGATGAGACAAGAGGATAATCGAATAAACTTACTCAATCCAAGAATCCCTGACCACTTGCCTTGAGCCCCTGCTTCACCTGTCAAGAAACTGAGAAGACAGAACTAAGGACAAAGGGTAGCATTACAAGGCATAAGATTTCATCTCAATAACTTCAGTTTTGAACCTTTATGATGATCATCAAACATTTCTAATGACCTTGCACAACTCCCTTTCTTTCTGAAATACTGAAAATATGACCCAGATAGGCTTGGTGATCTGCCCAAGATCACTGAGCAGAGGCCTAGAACTAGAACTCAAGTCCTAGCTTTCTGTTAAGAATTTCTTCCCATCACACCAGTGCCAAAAGAAAGGTTAGACTTGGGCCGGGGATTTAGCTCAGTGATTTTGCCGCCTGCTATGCAAGCGAAAAGACCCAAGTTCAATCCCCGGTACCGGGGGGAAAAAAAAAAAGAAAGGTTAAGGTTAGACTTACAATGGGAGCTGGGGGAGTTAAGCTGCAGGCATTAGTCCTTTATTTATTTATTTTTGTAGTGCTGGGGCTTGAATGGAAGGCCTCATACATTAGACAAACACTCTACCACTGAGCTATACCTCCACCCTTAAGCATTAGCCTTACAACATGAAACTATGTTCCTGTCAAAGAGTAATAAGCTACAGATGTTTCAGGAATGCCAGGTGTATGCTGTGAAGGATTCTTTCCCTTGTACCAAATCTTGTCATCCTACAGAGTTCCTCTTGACTTTGGACTTTACAAAAAAGTTATTCATAGTAAGGCGAACAGAATTAAAATAATGATTGACTAGCAGGTTTTTAAAAATGCAGATATAGGGCCAGGGATTTACCTCAGAGGTTCCGGCACCTGCCTCAAAAGTGCAAGTTCCCGAGTTCGATCCCCGGTACCAAAAAAAAAAAAAAAAAAATTCAGACGGTCGGATGAAGTTGGATTAGCTTTCTAAAATCAAACATGATTGCTTCTTCTATACAAGTCACTGTGTTAATTATTTGTGCACATGGTTATGTGAGTGAGTCAGTGACAGGCACAGACCAAAAGGGAAAAGTCAATCCAGGTTTCCAGGTTTGCAATATGGTTGCTGATATAATATGGTTTGTGAACATCAAAGACATGACTAATAACATGGAGTAGCTAATTGTTAAGTAAGTGGCATAGGTAAAAAGTCTGCAGTTCTTAGAAGAAGCAATCACTTCTGCTGAGGGCAGGGACTATCAGCCAGGGTGCTTCAAGAAAGATACAAAATTTGAGGTGGACCTTGAAAGAAAGAAAGGCTCTTAGGAAGAAGAGGAATTGCATGAGCAAATGTTGGTATCCTTAACATCAGGGAAGAGAAAGAAATCAGGTATTAAAAGGAGGGGGCCAATCCCAAGGCAGTGGCACGTAATAATCAGGAAGATGAGGCAGGAGGATCACAAGTTTGAGGTCAGCTTGGGCAATTTAGCAAGATGTTGTCTCAAAATAAAATAAAATGGGCTGGGGATGTAACTTAGTGGTACAGCACTTGCCTACCATGCATGAGGCCCTAGGTTCAATCCCCAGTACCACCAAAAAGAAAAAAGAACTGCGCTAGATTTACTAGCCTTGCAAGTCAAAGATCTTGTAGGAATGACAAGGTGCAGAAAAGATTTAAACAGAAACTACAAGATTTGGAACAGGTTAATTTGACAAATGTCTTCTGGGGAGGACACTGCATGCAGGATTTCGATGAATGACTGAAGGCAAACTTGCCCTTCGTGAGGAACTCACTTCAGCCTGGAAGAAGAGTTGGACTTCAGGTGACAAGGACTTGAGGTTGAATGGGAAGGTGCACATTACCAGATCTGCTAAAAGAAGAACCAGCAGGCCCCAGTGATTGACTGGTTGGAAGCCAGAGGATAAGGAAGCAGAGCTGGAAAAACAGAAGAGTAGGAAGTTGAGGTGAGATGCAGAGCTTGTTTTTTAGAGGTATTTACGTCAGTGACAAGTGGGCATCTAGAGATGGGGTCTAGGGTTCAAACTGAAGATTAAAATCTAGGCATCTTCCCAATGAACAGAGTAGTTTAACTGAATAAGATTTCTTTGGGAGGGAATATAATGAGAAAACCCAGAATGTCAAACTGAGCCATAGGTCTCCCCACACTCAAGAGGTGACAGTGGGCAAAAGTAATCAGCAAAGAAAACCAAAATAGTGTGATGCCAGGAAAAGAAGGGGAGGGCTTTAGGTGGGAGAGAGTTATCAATGGCCAGAGCACTCTATAAAACTAAAGACTGAGGGCCGGGGATTTAGCTCAGTGGTTCTGCCGCCTGCCTCACAAGCAGAAGGACCCAAGTTCGATCCCCGGTACCAAAAAAAAACACACAAAAAACTAAAGACTGAGCATATAAACAAGCACTAATCATTAACTGGGCACAGTGGCACACGTCCATAACCCCAACTACCCAAGAAGCTGAGGCAGGAGAACTGCAAGTTTGAGGGCCAGCCTAGGCAACTCAGTGAGATACCGCCTCAAAATTAAAAAAAAAAAAAAAGGCAGGGGTGTGTGTTATATAGCTCAGTAGCTCAAAGGTAGAGTGTTTGTCTACCACACAAGCAGCCCTGGTACCACGAAAAAAATAAATAAAATTGTTGAAAGAATGTATGGAAGGACTAAAGCCTTCAGGTTGAGAAATCAACTTTCCTCAGTAAGGATGACCACGGCTGCCCTCAAAAGATTTTAATCCTCATTCTTTCTATAAAAACACGTATCTTTCTTCACAAGTCATCCTGTCCACCACACAGACATCCTTCCCTACTTCCCCCTTGTTTCCCCCATCCTCCTTCCCAGTTTCCGCAACCTAAGCAACATACCTTCAGTGTCAAAGCAGACAGGAAACTCCAACTAGAGTTTCTACTTCATTAACGACTGTGCCTCTGGTTCCTCTTACATAAAAGGGATATGTGGCAACAGGGTGGAATAGGAGATTGGGTTCTACCTCTAGTTGCACTAACTAGCTGTGTGACTTTGAAAGAGTTGCTCAACCTCTCTGGATCTACACGGAGAGGAGAGAGGTTGGTCTGTCTGGAATCCAAAGAAGTTTCGAAGGTCCCTTTGAGCTCTAAAAGCTATTTTAGCATTCTCAGAAAGTCCTTGCAACACCCTCAGAGAAGGAAATGAGTTTAAAAGACACAGGGAAATGACGGCCGGATCTCTTCCCCGGACGAAGCGCCAAGGCTGGAGGGATGTACCAAGAAAGTGAAACGACGCTGACGGGCCTCGCAGATCACCCCCAAAAAGCAGATGCCATTCCCAATGCTGGGAACGATCCCAACAATTCCGGGTCGCCAGTGAGCAGATCTCATTCCTAGGGCTGGGAAGGATCCCAACAACCCAAGGGTGACTCTCACCCTGGCACCCTACCTTTCCCAGACTCCTAGACGGCCAGTAGGCTCAAAAAGCCGTGCGGGGGGTGGGGTGTGTAATAAAAATTTCTTTCCCAGAGTCCTGCACTGCTTTTGCAAGTCGGATGCCGGCAGACACGATTTGCAGCCCGATGACACAGTCTTTGGAAGGAACGGCTGCTGTTGCCTCGCTCACTCCGAGTTCGGGAGGCGTCCGACCCTGGGCAGCGGCGCCCCGGCCCTCGCCCCCTCCTGGGCCGGCCAGGCTGCGGTCTGCAAACATTTCCTGCCCCCGCCCCCACCAGGAGCTTCCCAGTTGGAGCGAGTTGCCCCAACTCGGCTCCGCGGCCACCCGCGTTGGGCGGGGGCCCCCGTCCAGGTCGGAGCAGCCCGGGCACCAGTAGCCGCGGGAGGTCGCTCGGGAACCCCAAGGCGCCGACACGGCGGGGACTCCTGCCGGACGTGTGCCCCGCTCCCTTCCTCGGCGTACCTGCTCGCTTGCGGGGGTGTCCCGGGGCGGCCGGCCTCTCCTGGCGCTGTCTCCCCACGCAGTTGCCCATGCTGGCTTCTCAGCGAGTCCCCATGCACCAGAGGCGGCGGCCGCCGGCTGCTCCACACTCCTGCCCAGACCGCGGAGTCCCAGGTCCACCGCGCCTGCCGCCCGACCCCGGGCGCCCCCAGATCTCTCCTAGGACGCGCTCTGCCCGGCGCCGGCTTTGCCACAAACTTTGCGGGCCAGGGAAGAGAGAGAGATGGCCAGCTCCCAGCACCGTCCCAGGTGGCGGGCCACGGGGGCCCGCAACGGTGCCTGCCTGGAGCTCGGCTCCGCCAGAGGGGCGGAGAGAGAGGGGGCGGGCACCGCCGCAGCTACTCCGGGCGCGCCCGGGGCTCCCAGCTGGGGCCGGCCCCCAGGAGCCTGCCACTCACCAGCCTAGCCCCGCCCCGGCCCGGCCCGGTGCCCGAGCCGCCGCACCGCCCTCTCCAGGTGCGCATGTGACCGCCGGTGCCGCCCCTCGGGCCGGACCCGGTTTTCTCATTGGCTGCCCCTAAGGTGAGCACCGCCCCCAGTCCCACCCAGCCAGGTGCCCACCCCGCAGCTGAGCTCCGGCGGAGCCTGGCCCATAATTATGCGTCCTCAACGTTCCCCGGCTGCGTGCCCAGCGGCCGCCCCCTTCCCCAAGGCTCCACCCCTTAAGGAGGGGCCGTCCCGTCCCTCCCTGGAACTGCCGGGCCAGGAGCCGGCAGGCACGTGATCCGGAGACGCCCCGCCCCTCAGTCCTGGGCCAGGCGATTGGTTCAAGAGGCGCGTGCGCGGAGAGGCTTGTCCCCTGCCACCTCCCACGGTCCCTGGCTAGCGTCATGGCCGCCGCCGCTCTGGAGGCGGGAGTGCCTACAGGCGTTCTGTGGGGGCTCGTGCAAGACTTCGTCGTGGGTCAGCAGGAAGGTCCCGCTGACCAGGTGGCTGCAGGTATGATAGTGTCGCAAGACTTCCGCAGGAGGGCTCAGAGGCTTTAGCACCTGCGCAGGGTTGGAAGGAAGTGAGGGGCCAGGTGACTTGAAGAGATTTGTCTCGGGGCTGTTTGGTGAGCGCCACGAGCTTAAAGCCAAATAAATTGGGAAGTCGCTTGTATCTTCCCCAGAGCTCCTTGACTCTCATCTCCCTGTGGTAAATGATGGAGAATAATTACATTCCATACATGAGGAAACTGAGGCCAAGCAAGAGCTAGAAACTTGCACAGGGCTACAGACAGAAGGGCTGTGGGGAAAATGGACCTCGGGCTCAGGTGTTCAAGTCAGCGCCAGGTGCTCACGCCAGGAGCTCGCGTGGTTTGTGGCAGTTGACGTGGGAAGATGCTTGTTTGGGACATCCGCTCCCGCCGCGTGGCATTCTGGGAGGGCCGGCGGCCTTGCTCGCCGACTGGCTGTAATTGAAGGGTGGTGGGAAAGAGGATGCGAGCTCGGGGGGGGGGGGCGGCGGGGGGGGCTGGGGGCTGGAGATGTTCTGGTGTCCTCCTTAAGGTTCTACCTCCGTGTCTCAGTAGAGTTCTTGATTGATTTGCTTAATGACTTTTTAAATGTGTCGTTTGTTGGTATGTTTTCCCTAGATCTTCAGTTTCTTGTTTTTGACCATTTCAAGGAATCTTAGTTCTAACCGTTTATCCAGTATCTAAACAAAACAAATTACAGGCTTCCTTGGAACTCTGACTTCGCTCTTTAAAAAAAAAAAAAAAATCTTAAAAGATTATTGAATGTTAGGAGGCCTTCAGACTAAGGTTTAAGCATACATACGGGTACATATGAGTTTTTATTTTGAAAATTTTGTAAGCTTGAGAAGACATAGAAGAATGTTTCTCTTTAAAATTGAACAGATTAAATGGAAACAAAGCTTTTGTACATAGGGAGGGAAGGGGACTTAAGGGGAGGGATGGGATAAAATTTATTAATAAAAAAATAAAATTAAACAAATTAACTTTAGTATATGTGAAAAATGAATAGTAAATCTGCTAGAAACATAACAGTGCAGTCCTTAACAACATTCCACTTTCATTCAGTTATTCCACCATTATTGAAATACTTACTGTTCTCCAAACATGATGCAAAGCAATAGGAATATAAATTTGGTTCAAGCAATGACCACCAAGAATTTACAGTGTGGTGAGAGAGATAACCATGCTATAGGGAGTACGTGCAGGGTGTTTTGAAAACATTAAAAAGCAAATGCTTGGTGCTACCACAAAGCTTAACATCTTACAGATTCACAAAGTATAGTGTATTATCAGGGCTTACGGTTAGTTTATTGTGTTATCATTTTCCCCAGTGTTTTATTATGAAAATTTTCAGACATTCAGCAATTTTAAAACTTTATAAAGAACCACCTAGATCCTACCATTAACATTTTTCTATAACTCCCTTTATCACATACTATCCATCCATTTAAATTACACACAGCACACTTATCTCTAAATACTTAAGGATCCATATCATTGACTAGAGTTTACAGTTTATTTTGGTGTAAAGTTTATATCCAGTAAACTATACCGCCTGAAGTGTACATTCATTCACTTTTTTTTTTTTTTACAAATGCATGTATCTAAACAATCCTCCCTCCTCCCAAGATAAAGAACATTAGCAGCGTTATTTCTAATAATTTTTTTGCATTTATACAACTTGGAAACAATAATTTTGAATTTTTTGATTCAGAACACCTTTGAGAAGACAGTTTGAATAAGAACTGCTAAGTTGGGCTGGGGATTTAGCTCAGTGGTTCTGGCGCCTGCCTTGCAAGTGCAAGGTCCCAAGTTCGATCCCCGGTACCAAAAAAACCCCAGAAAAACTGCTAAGTTCTGAGAAGTGTTGTAAAATTTATATTTTTATGCCTGAAAAAAATGACTTAACTTAAGGGCCAGAAATATAGCTCAGTGATAGAGTTCTCATCTATCATGTGCAGGCCCTGGATTCAATCTCCAATACTACAAGGAAGGGAGGGAAGAAAAAGAAAAGAGCCTATCCTTAAATATTGTCTAGTTTAAATTTAATTCAGCTCAGCTAAGACTCTAACGCTAACTCTATAGTAATTTAGCCGCCTTAAGAAAAGGTTGGATGGGCGGGGGATGTAGCTCAGTGGTTTCACCACCTCCTGAGGAAGTGCAAGGACCTGAGTTCGATACCCGGTACCAAAAAAAAAGGAAAAGATTGGAAGCCGGTGCTGGGGAGGCTTAGGCAGGAGGATTGCCACAGTTCGAGGGCAGCCTGGGCTACAAAGTGAGTTCAAGGCCAACCTAAACTACATAGTGAGACCCTGTCTACAACAAAAAAAAGTTGGTACAGAGGAGTAGTAACAGATAAAGTTGAAAAGATTTGGAAGGGTTGGATTATGCATAACCTTGGATTCCAGGCAAAAAAGGATTTAAATGACTTATTGTAAGTAATAGTTACTGTAGATCCTTGAGCCATAAAGTAAAATAAAAGGGAGCCATAAAATAAAAACAAATTTGGGAAGGATTAAGTTAGATCATGGCCATATTTAGGGTATTAGAACTTGACAGTTTTGAAGCATCTCCGTAATAAGAATGTGCATTTTATGCCCCCAGCCCAAGTCAGTCGTTGTTAGTGCTAAGGGGACCAGCTAGCATCCTGACCGCTCAGCAGCAGAACCCTCTCCTACAAATTATAAATGCTGAAGGAACACCCTGTGATCACAAAGGCAACTGCCACCAACTTTTGCCGTTGGAGGTTCCTGGTGACAAAATTTCTGGTGTCAGCTATAAAGATGATACAAGGATTTGAAGGAAATTACCTGGGAAATTAGCCCAAAAGTTAAGGCCTCCAAGGCAAGCATTCAAAGGCTACTATTGCCTGACTTCACCCTTTATTCTTACCACTGCCCTCCCAGAACCTTAGTTCCAGGCAGCCACCTTTCTTTATCTCCTGTTTGTTGAGTGCTTTCCTTCCCAATTCCCTCCATTAGCTCTATCTAATCCAGGTTAGACTTCAGCATCAAGGCCCAGCTTGAATGCCATCCCTCCAGTGTTTCCTGATTACCCTAGCCAGACAACATCTCATCTTTGCAATACAGTCGTTTCTCAACTGCTCATGTACTTATTAGCAACTTGTTTAGTATCTGTGTACCTTTTTATAGCCTATCCTCCCATTTCTACCACCAGAATCTTTTGGAACTAGCGTTAAGTATAAAATAAAAACTGCTTATGTTAATAAAATGAGAGATACTGAAGGACAAATCTATTTGAGATAAAACTAGCTATAGCACTTGAACTCCCCAACCAGATGACAAAGTCTTGAACCTAAGGACAAGGAAAAAAGGAAGTACTTTGTCTAGAAATTAAGGTTTGGACGGGACTTGTTTTTTGACGTTTTGTTCTGTTTTTTTGTGGTGGTATTGATAATTGAACCTTTGCTAACCACCCCCCCACACCTTTTTTGGGTACCAGGGATTGAACTTGGGTCCTTCCATGTGCACAGCAGGCAACGAAACCACTGAGCTAAATCCCCAACCCACTAACCCCGTTTTTATTTTTTATTTTGAAACAAGGTCTCACTAAGTCGCTATGTTGTTTAGTCTGGTCTTAAACTTGTGACCCTTCCATCTCAGCCTCCCAGAGTACTGGAATTAGAGACATGTGCTACCACATGAAGTTGGAAGCTGATTTTTGAAGCTGGTGGTTTTTGGACATGTTGAATTTGCAGGTGATGAATATGATTCTTTTCCTCTTCAGTGACATGGATTTTTTTTTTTTCCATTTCAGTCTTTATTTTATTGTATTTTCCCACATTTGTGGTTGCCTGGGAGACCACTATTCCTGAAATTAAAAAAATTAAGTAAAACATAGTTTGGAGAAACATCTGTGGCATCATTGGCAGAAAAGACATTTGAGACCTGATTGGCACCTAGTCCTGAGGGATTTCTCTCCTACTCCTGCACATCCTCCCACACTACCCCAGCCTCACTGCCTTGGGCAGCCACTCCAGATTCTCAAGAGGCTGCAGTGCCATCAGACAGAGATCTGATTGTGTTTTCTAGGTCAGTGACCACATAAATACTCCTTTGACTTCTCTGTGCTCCACATGAACTCTAGTGCCCTGCTGAGGAAAGGTGGAGAGTTAGAAACGCTACTAAGTCTATTTCAAAGAGCAAATTTTGAACACATTGGGAAAACGTAGGCCTGCCCATAAAGGGAAAGGAACTTATGTTTTCCTTAATGCCAGGGTCTCCCCTTAGGAAAATTCACTATTAGCTTCTTTTATTCCAGGAGTCCAAGTGCATAATTAATAGTATTTTTGGTATTCAGGTTAGGTTATTTTCATCTGGGAGAATTTAAACTGTTAAAAGAATTAATCACTTAAAGTTAGTAACCCAGGGCTTGTAAACTCGGGAATTTTACTTCTTTTTTATGTTAACCCAGTCTCTGTATCACTGATGTCTTTCTGCCTCAACAGACTGTGAATTCCTTAAAAGCGCCCTGTCTATTTCTAACTTAAGCCTTAATGCAGTATCTGACCTACAATATTCAGTAAGTGTTGCATGGAAATAATAAATAACACATAACTTTTTTAAAAAGAAGTATGGAGGGAACACAAAAAGGAAGGAATTCTTTAGGGGAATCAAGGAAGGTTTCACAAGCATTGACACTTGTGCTAGGTCTTAAAGGAAGCGTGGAAGGTTCTCAGATCAAGACTGGAAAGGGTCATTCCAAACGACTGTTTCCAGGCTCATGGACATGGAAGGGCTTGACATGCTTATTAGATTTTATGTAACTGAATAATAGGAGTTGTGGTGAAAGGGGAGCCAAGAGAATATTTAGCGGCTAAATTGTAAAGAACTTCGGGCCAGGGAGTGAAGTTTTAGGCAATAAAGAGCAAATAAAGATTGGTAAGCAAGCATGTAACTGCAGTTTAGGGAGATAATTCTGGAGTGGAGTATGAATGGCTTGGAAGGCTTTCTTTTTTTAA